GCCAACTGCTTCAGTGACTCCATCTAGCCACCTCATCCTCTGCCGTCCCCTTCTTCTTTTGCCATCTGTTGTTCCCAGCATTAGGCTCTTCTCCAGTGAGTCCTTCCTTCTCATTAAGTGGCCAAAGTATTTGAGTTTCATCTTCAGGATCTGGCCTTCTAAAGAGCAGTCAGGGTTGATCTCCTCTGGGACTGACCGGTTTGATTGCCTTGCTGTCCAAGGGACTCACAAGAGTCTCCACCAGCACCATAATTCAAAGGCCTCAATCCTTTGGTGCTCAGCCTTCCTTATGGTCCAACTTTCACAGCCATACATTGCAACTGGGAAAACCATAGCCTTCACTATATGAACTTTTGTCGGCAGGGTGATGTCTCTGCTTTTTAGTATGCTATTTAGATTTGCCATAGTTTTCCTCCCCAGGAGCAAGCATCTTTTAATTTCTTGGTTGCAGTCTCCGTCTGCGGTGATCTTGGAGCCCAGGAAAATAAAATCTGTCACTACCTCCATTTCTTCCCCATCTATTTGCCAGGAAGTGAGAGGACCAGATGCCGTGATCTTAGTTTTCTTAATGTTGAGTTTCAAGCCAACTTTTGCTCTCTCTTTCTTCACCCGCATCAAGAGCTCTTTAGTTCCTCTTCACTTTCGGCCATGAGAGTGGTATCATCTGCATATTTGAGGCTGTTGATATTTCTCCCAGCAATCTTAATGTCATCTGGTGATTCATCTAGCCCTGCCTTTCTCATGATGTGCTCTGCATATAAGTTAAATAGGCAGGGCGACAGTATACAGCCTTGCCGAACTCCTTTCTCAATTTTGAACCAATCAGTGGTTCCGTGACCAGTTCTCACTGTTGCTTCTTGACGCACATATATGTTTCTCAAGAGACAAATAAGATGGTCTGGTACTCTCACCTCTTTAAGAACTTGCCACAATGTGTTGTGATCCACACAATCAAAGGCTTTAGCATAGTCAATGAAGCAGAAGTAGATGTTTTTCTGGAACTCCCTAGCTTTCTCCATGATCCAGCGTATGTTGGCAATTTGATCTCTAGTTCCTCTTTCTCTTCGAAATCCTGCCTGTACTTCTGGTAGTTCTCGGTCCACATACTGCTGGAGCCTAGCTTGTAGGATTTTGAGCATCACTTTGCTAGCTTGTGAAATGAGTGCAATGGTGCGGTAGTTTGAACATTCTTTGGCATTGCCCTTCTTTGGCATTGGAATGTATACTGACCTTTTCCAATCCTGTGGCCACTGTTGAGTTTTCCAGGTTTGCTGGCATATTGAGTGTAGCACTTTTACTGCGTCGTCTTTTAAGATTTTGAATAGCTCAGCTGGAATACTGTCACCTCCACTAGCTTATTCCGGTTATCTTTTGGCTTCCTACTTTAGCATTCCAATCCCCCATGATGATAAGGACATCCTTTTTGGGTGTTCATTCTAGAAGGTGTTGTAGGCCTTCCTAGAATCGGTCAACTTCAGCCTCTTCAGCACCAGTGGTTGGGGCATAGACTTGGACTACTGTGATATTGAATGGTTTGCCTTGGATTCGAACTGAGATCACTGTCATTTTGGAGATTGTATCCCAGTACTGCTTTTCCTACTCTTTTATTGACTATGGAGTTTTTCTGGGTAGATCATTGCAAATTCTTGGCTTCAGCTTATGCGTGGGCATATTGAATTGTTCATCAGGTATTTTCTTTAGAGGCAGAGAACTTCATGGGGCAGGGCATAGTTTACTTAGACCACTCATTAAAGAGCATGAAAAAATCTTACATTTTAACCAGGAAACCCAGTTTCTGTCATCTTGGATAGAAACAAGATGAATTTGCATCATAGATTCAAATGCTTCCTTTTCATGTCTAGTTGCGTATTTTAACTTATGCATCTTTGAAATTTCCCTCTCATACACATACACAGATACACCCTGCCACACTGCCTGCCTTGGGGTCATGGATGGTGATCTTTTTCTGAGAAGTGATATCTGCAGGAAATAGTAGCCTTCAGATGCAATTTCAGCAGATGCTAAAGATGCCAGTTTGTAAGAAGATGAACATTATAGATGGGAGCCAGTGTTCATTGCGTCAGGAATGACACCTTCTTTTAAAGAAACAGTTGCACACTGCTCCTGTGGTGCAAATACTATTGCAGTGCATTGAAGGCTTCCATTGTATTTTGTCCTAAATTCGGTTGTTGGCTGTATTTACTGGTATTCTGGATTTTAGTGTCTTTTTAGATGGTTGGGGTACGTGGGAAATTGTACTGCAATTTGTTTAAGCTTTTTATACTACATGCTACACACGTGGCTGTCTCTTCCATGCCAAGCCAGCCTATGACTCTTGTAAGTTTCCAGAAAATGGCAAAAATATGAATATAAGTTGAATGATAATATAAGCTGAATTTGAATTTCCTAATTTTATAAGTTTTGTTTTTTCTTTTGGACTATTGGTGATGTCATTAAGGTTTCTGTACATTGCAATTTTATGGGTTCATTTTATATGTGTGTGTGTGTGTGTGAATGAAACTCTGAGAAATGTGTTTCTTTGTTTTTATTGTGGTTGTGAATAAAAAACAACATTTGTCTTTACCTTAATTTTTCCCTGTTTAAGGATCGCCTGGCTCATCATCGGTGGCTGATATTCTTTCAGTTTGGTGAGAGCAGCAAATCAGATGCCCATGACCTTAAAAAGTTACCTTTTCTCCTTAAGGTGGAAAATATTCAGGTATGATCAGGAGAACATAAAAGAACAAAGTAACATTTCGAGGTGATGTGGGCACATGTGTGTTGGGAATGGAGGACTTTACCTGCCTGATTAGAAGGGAGAGCAGCTTATTCTGCCCCACAAATCTACAAAAAATGCCTTTTCAAACATGAATTCTTCAAAGCTTCGTCTGTACATTCATGTCTTCCTCAAGCTCAGCCAGCTTTTCTCATGCTTCCACCCAGCAGCTGCTTAGTTCCTCACTGGGGTTCTGGCGTGTGGATGCATTGAGGTATAGAGACAAGCAGTCAAAAGTTTTTGCATAAGTCTTCAGAACGTTTCAAACATAGTAAACATACATTAAAAACAGTAGCTACATGAACTTTAAGGTAAAATACTAACATATAAAAGTCTAAAATTGAGGTAATGATAAAATATTAAAATTCTTTAAAAAGAGAAAAAACAAACAAACCATACTTTTTGAGAAAATAGGTTTTGTAAGCCCACTGCAACTCTACATATTTTTGAAACTATTACATTTAATTATTAATAGTATATTTGATCAGGCAATTTTTTCCTTCTTTTTTTCACTTAAACTGGCTGCCTTAACTGCAAAGAGGACAACCCTCTGCGTCACAAGCTGAGTAGATCTTTGTAAAAGAAAGTTTAGCTTACCCTTGCTCAGTCTCATATGGCCAGGAAACCATGTAGACAGTGTTCCTTGAAGCTGGTATATAATCTGCATTCCAATAATAGTGCTCCAGATCTCCCACTTTTGGGGCACCACGTATACAAAGTCTGTCATGCACGTGTGTACCCTGGAATCTGTCTTGTTGCATCATGGTATCCACCTTTTTGAACTGCAGACATGTATAGACCAAACATCTACAAGAACATGTTTTGTTTCTTTTTTTCCACCTCTAGTGCATTTACTAAATTTACTGTTTCCTCTAGGTATCTGTTCTAATGGGTTAAATCTGTATCAGCACTTACGCACTTGGCCTTCCTTCCCTAGGACACATGAATTTTGATGTTTTAGATTGTTTCTGATATATAAATCTTTTTTCCTTGCAAAAGTGTATATGTAGTTTAGTTCAGCTTCAGCTGCCGAACCGACATACTACATTTGCACCAGTCAAATTAGACAAAATTAAATAGGATGTAAGCTCCCATGTCAGGTGTATATATGTAACATTTTATGGAGAATTGTTCCAGGATCATAATGGACAAATAAATGCCTCTTTCACAGGTTGGCAAATTTGACTGCCTTACTGCACCAACCATCTGTAACAATCTGTATGTTTATGAACCATGTGTAGCAGTCTTTAAAGGGAGGGGAATGGAAGACTATGAAATCCATCATGGTAAGTAGCTTTTACATAGAAAAGTAATCATCACCCCCTCATGATATTTGTGTATGTCCCTTCCTTATGTGTGACAGACGTCTGCATGGAATAAAGCCCTCATTTAAAAATAATTAAAATGAAAAAGTCAGGCCTTGCAATTGGGAAGAAGTTAAAGGTGGAGTGTTCAGCCTTTTCCCTGTCAATAATTTTATACTCAAAAGTACACACACAGTGGAAAGCAGTTTCAAGGATGGGGAAAATGGCTAGGAGGGTCAGGTATTTCCTTCCTCCAGCTCTGGCCATTTCGTTCGCTAAGACCTTGGCCTCTCAAGCTTTTTGTTAATAAGAGAAAAGGGAGATTGTGATATATATCTGCTTGTGACACATGTGACTTAGATTCATCTTTAGCTTAGACTGTACTGGCTTCACAGCATTAATCAGTTTAACAAGTTGTCTTGCAGGCCTTATGCTATGCTGTTGAAATTTTCCTCTTTCCCTGTATGTTTTTGGAGCCAGAATATTTCCTCCTTCTCACCCACTTTTTTTTAACTTAAAAAGAATTTAATGAAGTACAATGGATAGAATTACATTTCGGGATGAAGAGAAGGAAATAAGGCTTCCTATAAAATACCATTAAGCTATGGAATATTTTGCCAATGGAGGGCATGATGATCTCGTGTATTTCTTAGCTATGAATGATAACTAATTGCCTGCTGTAACTGGCTGCAGCTTAAAAATATCAAACTCAATTTTGGGAGACAAAGAACCTTGCAAAGTTGATCAGTCCCCCTTGGTAGGCATATTCTTTGACTTTTACATAGACCAAACCAAAAAAAAAAAAAGCCTTTCCTTGTTTCCCACTTCACTTTTTCAACCTGTTTTTCCAAGCAAATAATAGGTTGTATTGACACCAGATTTTTTCCCCTAATTTTATTTTTGAAGGGAAGAAGATTCTGTATGATATAGTGGCATTTGCCAAGGAGAGCGTGAATTCGCATGTCATCACTCTTGGACCTCAGAATTTTCCTGGCAAAAAGAAGGAGCCCTGGCTCGTTGACTTCTTTGCTCCTGTAACTACTGTTTGCATATAACTGCATGAGTGCTTTTGTATCAGTTCTGGACTGGCATATGTTTTCCTCCCCGGTGTCAGTGTGCTCAATACTGCACTGTGCAACAGAGTTATCCATTCACAGATTGCATTTAGCATTAGGGGAAGAAGGGATGCAATGGAACCCTTAGCCCGAAAGCAGAAAAGCACTTTCCCCCCACCAAGGACAGCATCTGTTTTGTTGGGGCTCCATGATAGCAGTGGGCAGGGCTGGAGCCATCCCCTCTGCTCTCTCATTCGCTCTTCACATCATCAGCACTCTTGGGTCCAGTGCGGGGAGGGCAAATGAATAGACAGCCGTGCCAGAACTTGGTGGAGGTGCTATTGAGGAGCTCTTGCCCATGGTCCCCAACAACCAGCACTAAGAGTAAGAGTGGATTTCGGGGTGGTATCAAGCCTTGGGCACTGGTGCCTCACACTTCATTAAGCAGCAGAGCCCAACTGGGTGCATGTGCTCCTCCCTGGCATAATTCCCAAGGGATTCTGGGTTGGGAATTGGGGGGATGCGGTTCTTGTCCGGGTCAGGAAGACCAGCCATGAAAGGTGGAGGGGCAAGTCACTGGCTTTTGGTGAGATACTGAATTTATGTCTCTCTTCTTTGCTAGTGGTGTCCCCCCTGCAGAGCTTTATTGCCAGAGCTGAGGAAAGCTTCGAAGCAGCTGTATGGCCAACTGAAAGTTGGTACATTAGATTGTACAGTTCATGAAGGGATTTGCAACATGGTAAGCTGCAGGCGTAACTGTTGTTTTTCCACTGAGCAAATATCCTTTTTCCATGTTTAACTCTCCTTGGAAAGCAGTATCTCAATATTATTTTATAGTCAAAGTGATGAAAACTACAGATTCTATTAATGTAAAAACTCAGATTTGTGTGCCTTCTTATACACCTATGAATCAAGCTAACTTTGTTATTACCAGCTTCCTATTACATGCCAAATTAGCCTTCTTGAACCTGGTACCTTTCAAATGTGTTAGAGCAGGGGTTGGCAACCCGTGGCTCCGGAGCCGCACGTGGCTCTTGAACCCCTCTGCTGCGGCTCCGTCGCTCAAAACACACACCGGCACAGCCGCTGATCTGCTTGAAGCTCCACTCAGGAACGCAGCGCTAGCTAGTTAAGTAAATCAGCTAGTTAAGTAAATTTTAAGTAAATTGCTACATTCCTCTGCTAAACAAGCTTCCTGCAGGCTCTCATGTTACACAAAATGCTGCTGAAAAGATTCTCTTTGTCCCAATGTAATCTCCTTCATCTGAATGTTAAAAGCTGCGCTTGGGACCTGCCACAATTCACAGCACTTGACTGTTTATCTGCTATTCTGTCACTAAACACACCTATATCTCCGGCACCGATCTATGGACCCACACCGATTTACTGAGCTTCCCCCCTCCCCCCGTAGGCCAACCATGGATAAATCAAAGAAAAGAAAAGTTTCTGAAGAAAATCAAACATTTAATGATACGTGGGTAGAATCATTTGCTTTTACTGTTGACGAACTTAGGGGGTTTGCTGTTTAATGCATGCAGACCTTTAGTACTGACTTTGACTCTTCAGGAAGCTGTTCTCCTATTCAAAATATATGAAAGGAGTCCTACTAGTTTAAAGGTTAAAAAATAACAGTTTTTAGTGACTGAACAAGAGCTGCCGCTAAATCATAATGAAGATATACATAGCACTAAGGTAAAAAACGATATATGCAGTATTACCTTCATTTTAGATGTCAAAAGGGTTTTGTGGCTCCCAGTGTTTTCCTTTGTGTGGGAAACGGGTCCAAGTGGCTCTTTGAGTGTTCAAGGTTGCCGACCCCTGTGTTAGAGTATAACTTGCAACAGCCCCGCTCTAATACATCTGGAAGGTACCAGGTTGGGGAAGGCTATACCAGATGCTTCTATGATCTTTCCAGATTAATACTTCAGAAATGTGGAATTTGGCAAAGAAAAGATAATAAAATACATAGTAAATGGTTCTAATTATAATTTGTTTAAAGAATGATGAGTTACTTGTGGGCATGTATCAGAGGACATACTGCACAAAAGGAGCTCCATTTCACAATTCCGTGTGCAAACCCTACAAATCTGTCTTTGCATATGTGTTTTAAAAGCACTTTCTCCAGGATCTGGCAACAAGTGGTAGGGCTCATTTCTGGGCATGGTCTGCAGACCTTGCGTAAGGGAGTTTCCAATCCCTTTTGAAGCTCCCTAAAGACTTTCCATTGTGGAAGTGGCAGGCGCCGTTTCTGGAACAGAATGGGTCCTAGGCCCTGCTTGTGGAGTGGCTCGTATGGACATTTTCCACTAAACCACAAGAAGAATCATCTAGTAGAATTGTTAAGTTGCAGTCCAATGCCTGCTTTCCTGGGAGGGAAGCCCATTGAGCTCGGCGGAGCTTACTTCTGGGTAGACGTGTGTTTGTCATGTTTTTAAGCTCTTCTTAAAATGAATTAGTGCCTTTCTTAATGCTTCGTAATGAATTTTTTCTTGAGCCTTATCTGTACTTAACTGCTCCACTCCCAAATTATTGTAACAACGGAAATTTCCTTTTCAAAACTAAGAGCCCAAAGTACTGAATGAAAGGGCAGAATTCTGCTGAAGCTTGAAAAGGAGGTTCTGCTGTTTCAGAAAGTTAATTTCATTTTGATATTCCGTAGCACAACATTAGAGCTTATCCAACCACTGTGGTATTCAACCAATCTAACATTCATGAATATGAAGGACATCACTCCGCTGAGCAGATCTTGGAGTTTATCGAGGTAAGTGTACTAGAGTTGTATGACTCCATAGTACGCTGTTGCTCAACTGCGGGGTATTATTTTGGAGTGAGCTCAAAATGAAGTTTTGTGGAAAGCTACCCACGCTACCCCCTGAATGTCTTAAAAGGCTATGGCATTTGTAGCTGTAAACATACAGTATATGTGTGTTTACACACTTTTCACCCAAACAGATGTAATGTGTTTTGGACTGATATGCACATTGTCCATTTTTTCCTACCATTTCTTACCTTATTTTTTATTTTTCAATTTTATTAAGTTTAAAACAATGAAAAGAATGTGTATATGAATTTCCATTTCATTCATTCAAGGATAACAAAGTATTACCATAAAATGTATACGGTATTACACAAACTTATAATTTGCTTTTTCCCATCATAAATAAGAACCTTTACATGGTTTTCTTTTGTTTGTATTACACTATCATGCAACACAAAAAATAAAGGGGTTGCAGTAAGTTTATTGTTTCTGAATTGCTTTAATTAACCATTTGCAGCTGTGTTCAAATTGGGCACAAGTAAATGTTCTGTAACTGACCTGAAAAGCGCAGGTCGGTTTGTTCAAAATTGGTATATACCATTGGTATATACCATTTTTACATACCATCCTCTAAGTCTTTGCACCTGATTTGTTTTCTGATGCTTACTAGACAATTTTAACTTCCACAACCAAGTCTGAGAAAGTATGATCAGTGAATCTCACATGATTATGAGTCTTGACACTTTATGTAACTTGATCCCTCCTTTTTTATTGTCAAACAAGAATATAAATTTAGATTGTGTTATTTCTGTGTTGTAGGATCTTATGAACCCATCAGTAGTTTCTCTGACACCTGAGACCTTCCATGAGCTAGTGAAGAAAAGGAAGGATAATGAAATTTGGGTGGTTGATTTCTACGCACCCTGGTGTGGTCCTTGTCAAGCTTTAATGCCAGAATGGAAGAGGATGGCCAGGGTAAAACAGAATATATTTCATATCTGTATAAAATATAAAACTTCTGGATGCTTAGAATAAATGCTTGGGTGGAGATTTCCCTAGTACCACCCTGTCAGAGATTCATGGAAACCCCCCAGAGTGTATCTGAACAACTTTACTCATCAGCTTTTGTGCATTTCTGCTTTTTTCTTCTGAAAATATCTGGTGTGAGGTGCAATTTTTTCTTACCCTTTCCTTATGCAGCGCCTTATGCATTCTGCCACCAGTTTTGGAAAGTTCTGTTTTAACTCCTTATTTTCTAATCCCTGTTCAGAGGATGTAAAGAATAGTACTGAAAAGGCCGAGCTAGAAATCACACTGAATGGACAAGTGTGCATATAACTGTAAGTCATCCCTGCTGGCAAGCTAGGCAGTGGGGAGTTTCACAGCAACCCACCCTACAAATAACTGTGCAGGGTGGAGTGTTTGTGAAACAGCCCAGAGTACATCCAGCAGATATTCGGGCTCACAGTGGCTTGTTCCCACCCCTTCCCCCTTGGTCAACCGGCAGTTAGCCCAGGATACACTGGCGGGACCCATCCTGTTTGCCCTTTCTGCCACAGTTGCATGCCTTTTTGTGCTCACTGTGATTCCTCGCTTTTATTTATTTATTTTTCCAATTTATATCCTGCCTTTTTCCCTACAAAGAGCTCAAGGCAGCTTACATCATTCTCCTCCTCCATCTTATCCCTTTTGTTTTGGCAACTTTTGTTTCCTTTTCTCAGAGATCGTTTTTTGCATTCTCCAAATTGATAGTATGACAGAGGGATTAAAGCAGTATGCTTTTTAAATCAAACATTCACACGTGCACAATTGTAAGTGTCATGAGTCCACAATGGGATGCCTCAGCTGGGCAATGTCCTGGGGTGGGGGCGGGGGAGGGAATATATTTTCTTGGACTGCAGCAGCTACCCTTATAGGCATCAATGCAGAGGGGCTGTAAGAGGTTTAATGTTGACATTGGTTTATCTAGGAGGGTAGAAGACTGCAAGCTATCTCCTTTTGCAAGAGCACGTAAGTGTAAGAACTAGATGTCAAAACTCTGATTTCTTTTAAAGGTGATTTCTTGACTGGGCTGGTCAGAGTTTTCTGACAGAAACATATGAAGGCAGGGGTTTGTTTTTTTAAGAGCTGCCCAGGAACCAAAGAAACCATCACAAAAAGTACTCTAAAAAGAGGCTTGAAAAGTGTGGTGAGAAATATTATCTTCCCTTTTTGCAGTATTAGCAGACCTGAAGTGAAGGACACTGGGAACTGTCAGTTCAGCTCTCTAATTCAAGAGGATGGCATTGCTAAATGGAAGATTTCGCAATGGGAGTTATTTTTCTGGTATTTAAATGGAACTAACGCAAGGAGAGGTCTGCATTACTTGCCCACACCAGGGAACAGTGCCACCTGAAATGGAACCTGGCAGATTATCAAGACATCCCTGATAGAATTCTTGTATTAACTTACCTGTGATGAATAATTCAATAAGTTGCATTGTTGGAAACACCCAGAGAGCTTTGGCTATGGAGAGATATAGAAATGATAATGATAACAGTAGTGATAATGATAGATTTAAAACTATGCTTGAAACAGACAGAAGGCATGGCAGTCTTATTCTTCTAATTTTGTTTTAAAAGTGCAGTAATCATTTGGGTTTTGTTTCTGTTTCATTGCAACAGTCTGTTTAAATTTCTGGTAGCATTTTTTTTAAAAATTAGCCATCGAAATTGAATTGCAGCCATTATTGCAGCTCATGCTGAACACGTCCTTTCTTTGTTCCAGTTGGTGAATAGCCTGATTGCAGTTGGCAGTGTGGACTGTCAAAAATATTTCTCTCTCTGTCACCAAGAAAACATTCAAGGCTATCCTGAAATAAGGCTCTTCCCGCAAAAATTGGTTTCATCCTATCAATATTAGTGAGTAATGCAACTGCATTCTTGACTTGTAAAAATACTTTATTGAACAACTTGAATTCTGTTGATGGTCTAGGTAAGCAAACTTTAAATAGGCCTTTCAGTGATGCCAGCTAAATGCTGCTCACTCACTTCACTGAATTTGTGATTATTCAAAAGCAAGCATATTGCATGATTTATTTTTATTATATGAACATAAAGGGATTGCTAGTATTTTGGATTTGAATGTTCAAATCAGCTAAACAAGCAAAGCCATTAAATTGTCAAATCAACACTGTTGAGCACTCTGTGAGATGCAGTGAGGAATATTTTAACCTTATACTGAATTACCAGACTGTATTCGGCTCAGGCGTATCAACATGGACTGGCAGTGTATCTCTTTGGTTTCAGGAAGGTTTCTTCCAGGTGCTACCTGGACTGGAACCCAAGACCTTTTGCATGCAATGCTGGTGCTCTGCACTGAGCTATGGCACCCGTTCGCCAGGAGGATTCTGTGCTGCCTCTTCATGTCCAGTAGACACTGTGTCTGCTAACTTGTTGACAATGCCATTGTTCATTTACAGAATTTGCCACCACAAGATAGTGTTCTGTCGGCTGGCTTACCTGGCATTACAGGAGGAGGTAGATAAGTTGGATAAGTATATTAATGGCTATTAGGTGTGCTGGTTGTATGGAACTCCATGTACAAAGGCAATGTGCCTTTGAACTACCGGTTGTTTTGTGTATTGTGGGCTTCCCAGAAACAACTGTTTAGCTATGTGCTAAGGAAAGGATACTGCAGCTTACCTGGACAGCTTCATTTTACCTCCTTGTCATTTTTATCCAGAAGAGAAATTGCCCACCAACGAAGTTATTTTCTTTGGGTTGCAGTGTGTCATTTCCTTTCACACAGCATGTCTCACAATTGCTCTTACGTAGGAAATGTCACTGCTGAAAGTCCCTCTGAATATTTTTCAGGGGAGATCCATCAACAGGTAATGTGACTGGAATCCAGTGTCTTGCTTAAGAACATGATCTTTCCTGAGAGAAATCCACCCTTTTGTGGATCCATTGAAAGGACTCTGATCTCAAAAGCTGCCTCTTTCAGTGTATTTTACTCTGTGCTTTTATCTCTTCTTGCAGTAGCTACAATGGCTGGCATAGAGATGCCTATTCACTAAGACGATGGGCACTAGGGTGAGTTATTACAACAAGATCTCCTCCCAATTTAGTCAAAGAGCAGTATTTGCTAGAAATAATTGATACAATGTTATGGCAGTCATGTGTATAGGAGCCATTGCAGATCATATCAAACAAGCATGTAATGCGTCTGCAAGCAGCAGAAATTCTGTCCAGTCACAGCTCTCTGTGGTGAACGTAAATCTCACTGTATGCATTCCTTTGTTTGTTAAAGCATTTTGGTGCATTAGTATGTAAATAAAAGTCTCTCCATTTTAAGTGCTTCAGCTTAAAGCACTTGTTAAACTTGTATGGCTAAAGACCTGGTAAAAGTAATTTGAGATTATTCCTAACTTCTGGTGAAGTGAAAAACCAGACCAAAAATACGGTATTTTAAAAAATTTCTGTATGTCTTCTATTTACTCTTGATACTTGGAAACATGGAAATTCAGAATGGATATTTGGAAGGAGCATTATTATAGACCCCGGTGGGCATTCCAGGGACCATAGGATGGAAAGCTCCCTTCCTACTCCCAAGCACCATTGCTACATGCACAGGAAAGCCCTTTAGTGAACATCAAGGAGATGCTTTCTCAGTGCTCCCGTTTCAACCCAGCAGAGCACAGGAATCGCAGGGAGCTCCTAAGCAGTGAGGGTGTAATTCATAGGACTGTTCCCTGAATGGTCCTAAATCCTCAAAAAGCTGAATTCCTTGAAGAGAGAGAACTGCTGACCTTGCACGCATGAAAGGGATTGTCATTGTTCAGAGCTGTTCAAGTAACTGAAATCTAAAGGTACTTTTCCTTTTCTCTAAAGGTATTTACCGCAGGAGTCTGTGGATCTTACTCCTCAGAGCTTCACTGACAAAGTTCTGAACGGGAAAGAACACTGGGTCATTGACTTCTATGCTCCTTGGTGTGGCCCTTGCCAGAATTTTGCTCCAGAATTTGAGATCCTTGCGAAGGTAATTGTAAGAATTTTTCAGCAGCAGGATATCTCTTGTTTTCTAAGGACCCGCCTTGGGCAATGAACATTAATATACCTCCCTCCCTCCGTGTGTCTCTGTCTCTCCCTCCCTCCCTCCCTCTCTCTCTCTCTCTCGTAAAGACTGTTAAAGGAAAGGTGAAAGCTGGGAAAGTTGACTGCCAGGCTCATGCTCCAACCTGTCAATCTGCTGGCATCAGAGCATATCCAACAGTTAAATTTTATCCTTATCAAGGAACAAAGGTAAGAAAAAGACACACCAAATCCGTATAACTGTCAATTATGATAGAGGAACAGTGGTACACCAGATATTTGGCAGCCAGAAGGTCCCAGGTTCAATCCTTGGCTGCCTTTCCAGACCTTGGCTGCCTTTCCAGGCCTGAGAGAGACTCCTGCTTCCACTGCCAGCCTGGGAAAGTGTCCCGGATCCAGATGGACTGGTGGCCTTGGCTGGAATGGCAATGTTGTCCTTTAAAAGCAGTGTTTAATTGCACAGTTTAATTTTAGTGTGAAGTAATGCAAATTCCTACCACTGCATACTTCTTCCAGCAAGGATTTATTTTTTAAATAAACTTGCTGAAATGTGACAACTTTCATGCATAACACAACATAGTGGTTCTAGACTGTCTGAATGGATTCACACCACAAAATAAGCTGTGTTGAAGGGTTAAGTGTGGTTCAGTGTTGGTTATGTTCAACCATGGGTAGTTGCTGAAATGTGGATTATTATATTATCTGAACCCAGTTAAGCCATGATTTGTAAACCCCAAACAACCCATGAAGAGAACCCATGGTTTAGGGCAGGGGATGAACTGTAGGTTGTTTGCTGTGGCTTGTTATCTACAGACAACATGATAACCCACATTTCAATAGCATGTCCTTAGTAATTACTGTAGCTGCACTATGCAGCATCAAAATTTGGTATGTGATATTATCAACAAGATAAAAATAGGGTTGACTCTTTAATGTATCTGGTCACTAGGTGTTAAACTTTGTGCCTGCCCCTCTGAATGGCTATGTATTTTCATCCTAATGGTAGAAATTCCATTTTTCTTTGAACAGATAGATTAGGTCAGAGTATAATTCTATTTTTCTTTTTATTTGAAGAAAAATGCACTTGGAGAACAGATAGACAGCCACGATGCAAAAGCCATAGCTGAACTACTGATGAAGAAAGTAGAAGACCCGAAAAATAAGCAAAAAAAATCTTCCAGAAATAAGGTGGGCAATTTGTTGTGAGGTCCATTAACAGATATTTTAGCATCTTTCTCTTGTGCTGTTTGTGTCTGTGGGATGTAGTCAATTGGGGCTTTGTGTGAGATGGGGTGCCTGATTTTTGCCAATCTTTCCTACCCACTATAGTCCTCTGTGTCCCCGAAAAAGCTGCTTCTGGGTGTTGAGAGATCCACTGGAAGAAAATGGGGTATGGGTACCCAGCGTTATCTAAACAAGAGTGCAGAGTCACCCGTGGGATGCAACCCAGTGTTCCTGTTGTCTTGTGAATAAAAGCAAAGGCTCTTGTCATCCACTTCCAGTTGAATTTGCTGAGACTGTATCATCTCAGCGGAGTTGTTTCAAATACTTCAAGAATCTAGTACAGTTGAGGAGGAATGCTTTGAAGGGACCCACTATACTGCACGGCTGATACTGATATTGGTCACCTGTACGGAATCATCGTACCTTGTACCTTCCACGCCGTGGTTGGCAGGTGGTATCAGCCGCAGCATTTTGAAGAGGCAGGGAGACAGTGGGTGCTCCCAGCTGGGAGGGCTGCTGGTGCTGAGAAGGCATTGTGCAGTCCTCCCATCCTTGTCTCCTTAACATCTCTGAAAGAAAAGGTGAAATAAATGGTGGGGAAACATTTTCACCAGAAAATGGTGATTTCTGGATTTCCCATTAAATTTTTATCTTGTGGTTGTGAGCCACCCAGAGGTTCCGTGGCACCATTGGGCGGCATACAAATGTTTTAAATAAATTTATGCCATGAATGAAGCAGGGTGTTGGCAAGATAAAGCTCCATCTGGACGCCTTCAGGGCCTTATGTTGGAACCAAATGAAGAGGGGCACCTTTGGATGCAACCTATACAAGACAACTAGCAAACCGTGTGATTTTTATATTAGAAACAGTTTACCTGACACTTTTCATGTTAGAGTGGTCAAACTAATTAATCCTTCACTAGAATCTGTAAGCTGTATTTGCAGCATTTTACAGTGTTATATCTACTTCTATCCCTTCCCCACACCCCAACCTCCCCTGAACTTCAGGATGAACTCTGAGTCATGGAATGAATTTGAAGCGTATTGAAGCTGTGGCAGAGGGCAAATTAGATCATCTTCTTCAAGTAGGAAAAGAACTGCATGGGGATTCATGGGCACATGGGTTCTCCCCGTGAATGCTACAGAACTTGCTACGGATGCTTCGGAGTGTGCATTTCTAATGACTCTGGTGGCCATGGTGGCATGCTCACTGCATACAAAGGAGGATTTTATTTTTCCACTTATGGACTTGGTCGGTATCTGGAGGACCGCAAGGGTATCTTTTTCCCAATCCTTCTCTTGTGCTGAGAACGAGCCTATCTCCATCACCTGGAAAACAGCAGGCGGACACACACTATAGTACAGAAAGACTAAAAGAGCATTCGCTCGCTCTCTGTTTCTCTCTCTCTTTCTCTCTCTCTCTCTCTCTTTTGTATTGGAAGAAGAACGGTCTGAAACAACTTTTTTACCTCAGTATTTGTCCAGGATTCACTGGGTAAATTGAAGTATGTGTTTGGGGAAGCTCAGCTTACCTGTGTTATAGAATGTTAACTTCTGGACTGATCCCAGAGCCGTTTGGAAGAGCGCTCAAGTCATCCTCAGTGTGTGTGACGATTTCAGTGCACAGCACCAAGGGGCAAAGGCTTGCTTGTGTTAGCTCTCTGCTTCTTCATATGCATAAGCTGCCTTTAGAGGCTGAGGGCTCCACTGTCAATAGGGAAGTGTAACCACTCCAGGTCATAGTCTGAACTGTAAGGCGCCGTCTTGGTGCTGATCCCTGTCCCAGTGACATTGGCGCTACCAGCTGGAAACTGCTATGCATGAATTCTGGCTTTTGGAACACCGCTGAAAATGCACCAAAACCAAGGTAGCCTTTCCTTTTCTTTTAGTGGTATACAGACAGCTGGTTCCAACAGGTGGCAGCAGATGCACATGGTGCCGAGGGTTAAAGCAGCTATGAGCCAGCAGTACCCAGTCTTTTCACTGGCCATGGGATGGTGTCCTGAGGACATGGTGCCAGATAAGCAAGATTCAGAATGCAGCTGAAGCTTCCCCATATCAAAGCAGATTTACCTTGAAACACAAGCCCTTAGCTGAGTGCATCCACATGCTTTGCCACAGACAAGAAAAAGTGTAGAGGGTGGTGAGCTTGTGTCATGGCAAATTCATCCTGGTTTTAAAGCAGGATCCTGAAGTCAGTGTTGGAGGCACATATTTAATCTGTTTTGACAGCAGCCTGCTCTTAAAAGCAAACTGTTAAAATGTAAATGCTGCTTTTTTGTTGTTAGAATTTGTAGTGCCTTCTGAATCTTCACTGGTCAGCAGTGGTAAATTTTTTCAGGAGGTTATGCTACTGGAAATTGTTTGAGGTTTTCTCATCAGACTGTGAGTCTGGGGTGGTGGGGGTGGTGTGCAAATACATTTTTCCAGTGTTGAATTGACACTTGTCAATTTTGAAATTATTTCTAAGCATTTAAAAGCAAAGCTAGTTGGGCAATGCTTTATTAATATAATTTAAATACATTGATATCTTCTTATCCAAAGTTATTTCTTACAACAAATAAATAATTTAAAATCAAAATGCCGCAGAAGATTGTGGAAGGCTTCCAGAACTCTTTGCTGGTTTTATGAAGTGCCCTGGAGCCTCACAGCAGCATGTGTAGAGATGAAGACAGCACTGTTGCTATTTTACGAGTACTTGAATACAATAATAAAGAGTTCTGCAGAACTTGAAAGCTTCCACAACCTTTTGTGGCATTTTAGTTGCTTCCACTGTAGCTATTGCCCAACTATGGATTTTTGGCAGCTGGGCAGTCTGTTAGTAGTATCTGTGCATATTCATGCAACATCAATTTGTAAACTTTACATAAGAAATTTTGAATAATCTTTCCCTTTAAAAATGAAGCGTTGCATTCCTACATATTGGCACAAAATTAGTAACAGCATTACCTTTCTTTACAATTGCATTCATCTACCATTTTTTAAAAAATGCAATACATGTAATCCTTTTCATGTATGCATAAAAATTATTCTACACATGCAGAGATCAGGGGAACTGTATTAAGAAAGAGACAGTTCACACTACTGTGTGAAGAAAACACAGCAATGCACACAGTGGCCGCTCATATATGACTGTGCCCTTCTTTTGAAATCACCAACCGTTTTTCTTCCAAGGGTGAGATTCCTCTGAGACCATCATACTCATCTGATGATTTATACCATCAGAATTATGGTTAGTGTTATAGGGAGTTAAATCACCTTCTGCTTATCTCCATTAGCAAAACACAAGGACAGATATAATCAACCACAGTATTGTTTCTAAGGATATTATACTTGTTTATGCTGCATCCATTCCTACCGTAGTCCATTATTGCTTGGTCTTGATTACAGATGGTTCCATGCAGTGTGTATCCTTCCAGTTTAAATTCATATTTCATAACCTCCATTCTCTTAGAGGCAACTAACATCTCTTGAAGAAACAGTGTTGGATGGATTCTAAATTAGTTTCTCATTCAGTATCTTAGTAACGTATTTGTGAGGTCATGTCAGGGGTAGGAAGATCCATTTGCTTTAAGCTCATTGTATAAATCACCCTTTGTGAACCTGATCCTTTCCACTTACGTTGGATTCCACCCTCACCCAGCACGGTCAAGGATAAGTCAAATTTGGGAAGGCTGGTGTGATCTCTTGTGGAAGTAGGAAGGGACAAAAGCTGGTATTCCATGAAATAGTTTCTTTCACGAAGAGTCATGTTGTATTGTGATCTATTTGAGAAAGTTTGGTGGAGACACATCAGAATCTACCGTGGACTCATCCATGAAGCTATTAGATCCTGCTGGCTTATCCCACCACACTGCCAGCTTATCCCACAAGAATCTGTAAAATCCGAGCAAGAAGCATCCAACTGTAAAGTTCTTTTACTTATTTGTGTATATATATATGCATACTTTCTCATACTAGCAGAGGTTATCTTGTATTCCTTGTCATCTGGAATACAAAGTAACCTCTGCCAGCACCAGCAACAGGAAAAATTAATAACAGGTAATGCTATTACATTAAAGACAAGGCCTGCAATAATTCCAATTTTGCTAATGTTAGGTTCTTCCCAACAAGAAATGGCCCCAACAAGCAGATTTAATGGCTGTGATCCAAAGAGGGGACTGTGTGCAGAGGAGAAAATCAAAGGGATTTTTTTTCCCCTGTTCCCACTGCTGAAGAGTCGCATCATTTTTCAGTTAAGAAGCTGTCTGTTGAACTGTTGTGAATTACTGCAGCAAAACATCATTCATGTTCTAACTTGAACCCTGCAGTTCCTGTATGCAAGAGTGGAGGTCCTTGCAGTAATCAAACATACTGTTTCTCTCCCCCCCCCCCACTTCTTCAAGGACCAAGATGTTCCAGGGTTTGGTTTCTTTTATGGAAAGAGATCACCAGGCACGTAGGGTGTTTTTGTACTATTTGAGCTGATGTGCAAATGAGCAGGTTGAGCAAAGCTGGAGGCACGTAAAATCTATTCCATGTCTTTTAATGACATTGTGAACCAGAGACTGAAGGCCAGATTGGGTGCTATGGTTGTCATGGTTAATCCCTTCCCATGTCTCTCTCATGCAACTGAAAAGTCCATGTGCTGTAATGTAACTCCATCGGTGCCTCTCTGCACCAGTTCATTGCCTGCTGATTGCAGGGGTTGGGGAAGCGGATGTAACTCTGCATTACAAGGAGATGCAGTCAGTGGCTCATGTGCCTCTTCCCTCAATTTGTTTAAAGCCTGCCTGAGTTAGAGACATTCTTTAGGCACTGCTCCAGTAGCAGAGCATCATGCTGTAGGCGTGTTACATCTTAATTGTGAAAACATCCTGTGCATCCTATTCAGGCTTAAATCTGAAATACCTACGCAGAACTTAACACTGGCAAGAAAATGCATGCACGATCTGTTCTGCATCTCTCTTCTGTTAACAGTGTTTGCATGTTGGCAAAGACTGCAAAAGAGTCCCACAGAGTGCATGACAGATGAACGTGTATCGCCACTGCTCCTGCTACGGAAATGCAGTCACTGCCTTACACGGGGATAATCTGTGTCTCTTGTTTTAGCCGAAGCCAGATTTGCACAGCGTTCATTGGAAGGATCTTTTGCCAACAACGAAGCCTAAAGCAAATGCTTCAGACAAACATTTGATTTGAGAATCACGCAGACACTTGAAAAGCAAAGCCGAGGGTGAACTACCGAATTCAGACAGTCAGTTTTAGATTGTGAGTCGGGCATGTGTGTCGGGACAGGAGCAAAGATGGGGAAAGGCAGCTGTGTCATGCCCTTTGCGCCAGCACCAATTTCTGTGTACTTCTTCCAAGAGAAACTTTTATATGTCTGGTTTGAAATTTTAGTTTGTATTAGGACTATTTGTGGGTTTTTTAAATGGTAAAAAATTGAGAGAAAAGCATTTGCTCTGTTTAGTTATAAAACATATTTGAACAATGATTTTGGCACTGGAAATAGTGAGTTTTGTTTGGTCCTTTAAGCAGGCAAGTTTAGTGATCCGGAGCTACAACCAGCAAGAGTTCTTGTCTTACTCCTTGATTGTTTTAGTTGTAAGCCAAAGTTTATAATAAATTTGATTTTAATATTTCTGGATTATGAAATACATTCTTTCAGTAGGATTTTCAGTTCATTAACTGTCTTATGTCTTGGAATAACAGCATGCTTTGATACACTGAGAGCAGTGAACGAGTAAGTACTGAATGAGCCATTTCTGACAGTGTAATACTTCTGACTGGAGTATAATATTTCTGACAGCACGTGCAGGCTCATGGTTGAATGCACCAAAATGGCTTTGTGTTGTGTGCTCTGCCAAAAATAGACACTTCACTGGCTTCTCCCAGAGGCACAGATGAAGGTAAAACGGGTGGGCTGCAAAGATCAGTGGGGATGGGTCTGGGGAAGAGGGCTAAGTTGAGGCCTGAGCTTTTATCACATGGTGTGGGATAAGGAGCAGAACGTGTTCCTTGGTGAACATCTCAAGGCACTTCATGATATCCTAGGAGACGTCATGGATGTGGATGTTTTGCCGTGGATGTTTTGAGGAGATGGGACTGGTCCCCTTATCTGAGAGGGTTCCAGCTGGACACAAGGTGGAGATGCTCTGCTTGTACCTCAACAGAGGTTGGCTTGCCCGGTTCTTACAGGAAAGAGGTCCTGGTCATCCCATTCCCGCACCACTGGTTTGTCCTGCTAACGGCTCTGCGGGTAAATAGTCAGGCCGTAGGTTGCCCAGCCCCTGTGCAGGGTCATTTTCTTCCAGGTGAGTGTGCAAATGGACCCAGTGCAGAGCCGGACTTGCACACATGACCTCTTGCTGCTTTTCATGGCATCAGTGATGGAAATAGTCTGAGACTTTTGAACAAGCCAAGGATGTACAGTATATGAATGGTCTTCTAAAATCCGGGCAGCAGGTTTAGCTGAAAAGTGAGCATTGTCTCTGTTAACTTTTGAACAGTCGGAAGAACAAGGAATAAAGGACTAGCTCATGGAAGTGTGGCTTCCCTTTATAAGTTTTCTTCAACAGGCTCCACAGACCAGCTTTCAACAAAAAGTCTTTTCTGGAAGGAAATGATAGCCAAGGCAGCTGGAAACTAAACCAAGAATATTGCTTTTTGCAATAGAAGAGAAGGCTTACTATAAAATGCGCACACTGTAATAAGCACACCGAGGGTGGTGGAGAGCCAGTGTGGCACGTTGATTAGAGCCGGACTGGATATATGGGGAACCCAGATTCTAGTCCCCACTTGGCCACAGAGCTCCCTGGGTGACTTTAGGCGGTTCGCAGGCTCTCACCCCAACGTACCTCACAGGGTTGTTGTGAAGATAAAAATAGAATGCAGGAGAACTTGGAAAGCTCCTTGGGTTTCTCACAAGAGGAAAAAGGGCAGGAGATAAATGGAATATAACGATAATATCTCAAAGTCTCCCATATTTGACAAACTGTGAAATAACTGCATATATTTGTCCTTTTCTATATAAAAGTTGTTAATCCACTGTATTTATCTTTGATTTTATCACAGAATTGAGATCCTAGAACTACCCTAAGAGCATTTCCTCTCCACCTTTTCTGCTTCATAACCTCTAGGAGGCGCTGCAGTATAACAGAGCAGCACAATTACACAAGTGGAAAAAGTGCAGCTTTTTTACTTTCACAATTATGTACCATAGTTTCCCTGCTGTAAAAAAAAAAAAAAACCTTGCCAAAAGCCCTGTTTAAGAATAAACACAACAGTGAATAAACACAAAATTCCAAACGACTGTGAACAGGGAATGATAAACACACAACACATGCTTCACATAGAAAAGCTTGTTTCATTGTTTAGTCTGTCATTGTTATGGTTATATGTTCATGGTTATGAACTTTAGAGCAAAAATGAAATCATTTCACACACACACACACACACACACACACACACCTGGCAACTCCAGGTAAGACTTGAAAAGATCATCTACCGGGCACAGCTGTTCTAAGGTAGCTTCATATGTGAGCTGCAGTGCGGTGTTTGAAGGCGCGTGGGGTGCTGTGTTGCCACCCCACTGTTTTTCAGTTACCCACAGGTAAGCAGTGGTACTAACCTAACTGCCCCTCCTCCTTTTCATTCTCCCATTTCAGAAGTCCCCCACTTCTTCATAAACCACCCTACTGCCTTTCTCCTCCTGCCCCTTTTTCCTGGGTGAGGTACAGCATATACATCAAGTACTCTGGTTCAGGTGGAAGCAGAAAAATTAACACCATGTGTTGGATCCATAGTGAATAAGTCACAATGATTTCTGTAAGTCTACTCTAAGTAGGACTAAGTCTGGATCCAACCCACTGAATGCATGGTTTGTCTGCATTCTTTGGGTAATAGGAAAGAGAAAGAATTTAAACAACCACACTGTCCAGAGTCCTGCAGCTGTTGCCTTAAGCAGCAGCTCTTCCGCAGCGAAATCCAGGAAAGAGAACAATCCTATCCAATAGGTGTCCCAGGTAAATAAATAAAAGCCTTCCTTCTTTGTAAGAACAAATGCTCTTAAAAACCAAGCTCCTAGTGCAGGCATTTCAGGCAGATGTGCTGTTGAAGCAAAACATTTGAAGCATTTCCAGCGCAAACAGATGCAGGAAGACAATTTTTATTACACACATTTTGCCCTGATCATAATAACACAGCGCAAGGCTGAATTTTCAAAGAGTGCACACACCTAGAGGCATGTTTCACCCATGACAATTTGGGGGCTTTAATTCCCTATTAAACTCTCATAAATTTCCCCCACCTCCCAAGCCGAGTAAAATCAAAATCCAAGCCAAACCTGTTAAGGGCAAGAAAAGATGCTTTCAGTGATGCTTTGACTCTGTAAAATTTGACTCAAGCAACAGTGAAGGCAGCCCAACTTTTGCAAGTATACTGCACTTTCACTGAGAAAAATTCAGCATTTAAGTCATTGGAACTTGGGAAGCTGCCCAGTATTCTTGCCACTGACTAGCAGTGGCTCTCCAGTTTCCAGAAAGTTTTTCCAGCCCAGCCTGGAAATGCTGCTGATTGAACCCGGGCCTTCTGCATGCAATCCAGTTGCGTTAGCTCTAAGCCACAGCTCTTCTTCCTAATGTTCTGCACGAGGTAAGAAACTGTGATGGATCTGGGAAAGGGGAATAGAAAGGGGAGTGGTGCTACCCTAGCTGATTTTACATTCCCCCATCACTATGTTGCATTATCTTATGCCAAGCTGCATAAGAATGCACATTAAATGAACAAGTGTTGACTATGATACAAATTTTGTGCATTCTCATTTACTAAGTGCCATTATCCCCTTTTCCTTTATGACTGTGTCTATAATCTGGGATGCAGGGAATAAACCAGCCAATCCACCTTCCATGAGTTGCAATATGTGGGTTTTTCCTCGAGATGGGCACAGAGCTGTCGAGGGGGCACCCCGGCATGCCTACCCACACCCTCACTTTGCCTTTCTGGCCGAGCCAACCCACAAGGCTGCTCCATAAAAAGAAGCATGCTTTAGTCTGCACTGTCACAGCTCCAGTGCTGAATTAATAACTGGTATCAGCAGTTCCAAACCATGTTGACACCCACAGCAGAAAGAGCAGAATAATATTCTAACATCGAGTGTTTTGATCAAATTTGGAATGTCTGTTTTGCATGTGTAAAAAATCAACTATACTCACAAACAGCTATTTGATGTTCAAAGGACAAAAATGGGTACATCTGCAACATCTGCCATTTCTGTTACAGCTGCGGCAGCCATCTGCATGGGACAACCTTCCCCAGTCTGCTGCCCTCCAGATGCTTTGGACTACAATTCTCACCAGCCCCAACCTACATGGTCAATGGTAAAGAATGATGGGAGCTGCCACTCCAAACACCTGGCACAGGTTAAGGAAGGCTGAGCCCAAGCAACTGCGATTTGTAGAATTGCCTTCTCAGGCCACATCACACTGTTGCGAGGGGGTGATACTTGTTGGAAAACAGGCACTGAAGAGGTAAAAAGAGGGTTCAAGTCCTCCAGACCCTACAGGATTCCCCACCGCTGCATTTTTCTGTCTCCAACTAACTGTATGGCATAGTGATCACACCTTTCATATATTGCCCAGCTCGGCCCTGAGAAGGAAGGTTTGAGAATCAGCAAAGTCTTCCTCAGAAGAGGATTTTTCACATTTTATGCTCACATCTTTCAGGCATCCATGTTTACATTCCCCAAGCTGTGTTGCTGCTACCAGGGCGGGCGAGAGAGTCTAGCAGGCATATTGCTGCTGGCTGCCCCTAAAGAAACCCGCCTGCAGTTGCAGGAGAAGCCTGGAGGCCCCCCAGCCCCTTGCGGCTGTTTCCAGTGCCGGCAGCCACAGCCCCTCCGCCGCCTCACTTCCCTGCCCACTCCCTGGACCATAGGGTGTCGGGGGCCGTGCGGGTTCCTCCACTCCTTAGCGGGCAAGCCCTGCTGGCAGCGCAACACACAGGATTTTGGAAATGTGCTTTAAGTTTCACTGGTCTACAAATGTTGGGAAATTATTGACCTCCACGATAAAATGTGCTAATTCTTACATATTCTGATTAGATGAATTAGAAAACAGGTGATAAAGTTGGCTAAAGTTTTCAAGATATTTCACAATAAAGATTTATACACAGGCGAGTTTATTTGCCTACAAGGGAGGGAGGGGTCTGATGATCATGATGCCTCAAAACTTCTGGACAAAGTATGGTAGAACAATGAAAATGGCACCACATGGAAGAATATAAATTTATCTTCACTTTGAGACTAAAGATTATTTCCTAACTGTAATTTACTGTTCTTTTATTGCAAGGTACATTTGTCTTGGTCACAGATCTGCGCATCATACAGTTACATTTGGTGGCTTGTGAACGTGTCATTGCCTAACACTTCCAAGGAACAGTTGCATGATTTTTTCCTCCAGAAGCCAAGATGCCTTGAAACTGTGTAAATAACACAGATACCTTCTGCTACATTTGTGGCGAGGTTACATTTTCATTTCAAAAGTGCAGTATGAAGGCAGTGGTAAAAAAGGCACACCACCTATATTTTGGATGCAAAATGGGGGATCAGGACAAGAGTTGGGCCCTTCATTATTGTTGCATTACATGTGC